AATAGCAGCTATACAATAATCTATAAATAACTAATAATATTAATAAACGAATACTTCGGGCCTCTGCGTGTTGGCTTCGGCTCCTCGTACGCCTTCCAAAGGTCCGGGACCCTGTGGTCCCGTGAAAGGAAAGAACAAACATTAATAAACGAATACTAATATACTAATAATATTATAAAGAGGTAAAAGTAAGTTTGTATGTAGGGGGTAAACCAGTTTGGAACCACTGGTCGGATTTCCGAAATTCTTTCACTGATACATAGCTACAATGTTCCTGAGTGCTATAGGCTATAAAACATCACGCTACGATTAAATGTAGCCGAGCAGCGGGTGAAAACGCAGTAGCTAGTTATTGAATAATGCTGAATAAGAACTTAAATATCAATATTAATAATATCACAATCTACTTACGCTTAATTAGATATCACATAGGTATCTATCATTTATTTAATGATAAGATACATTTTTAAATAATGTAAATACGGTCCTTGCCTAATTATTTACTTTATAAACATATTAATTAAACAGGTCAAAGGTTAGCAATGGTATGCAATGGACACCAGAATGTTACAAAGCCCACACAGAAAATCGGCGTGACACAACGCTTGTGTTGTGTTTCGCTTTGTGAGTAAGATTATTGCAAGACGAATTTCCTTCACCCTCCTGCATCCCTTATCACTTAATCCCCCAATTCTTAAATCCCTCCCTAAACTCCTAAAAACAAGGAATCTCAGATTACATTCCCAGAGAAGCCAATTACCTAAGTATCTTCTATTTTTCTTTGTTAAAGTAATAATTATCCCTTGTATACCTTAATCTCCCAATCCTGAAATCCCTCCCTAACCTACAATTGCCGGCAACATGTAACATCTCGATGTTGCGAGAGTAGGTACATGGGGCTACGAAACATCACGCTACGATCTGTAGGAGCAGCGGGTGGAACCACGCGAGACTAGCTAGTGATAATATAGGCCACACAAGTTTTACAACATTTAATAAAAAATATATTCTAGAATAAGTATAGTTGGTTGAGCTAATGATAGTAACAGTAATCATCTTTACAGGCGAGTTATCAAAACCCCTGAAGAGATTGAAGTACTGCGTTATGTGTGCAAGGTTTCGTCTGATGCTCATAAACAGGTAACTAGCTATCTAACATTGTTAAGTATATCGTTGTTATACCTAATATAAAATTACCTTCTTGGTCGATCGGGCACAAGAATGGCTTTGGTAGTCAAAGCCATTACCTACCTAAGTATTTTATGTTTTTCTTTGCTACACGGAGTTTTGTTTAGCAACGAGGTACCACTGAAATTCAGTTAAGAAAAATGTTGTAAGAAAACCTTACCTTACCTACAATTTCAAATTATAAGTTTGAAGTCGCCAATCCTCAAAGCAATCTTGATTCTTTGCGAGAGAAGAGGGCTCAGCAATAGACTACTACTTACTAATCATAAATTTTCTCAGGTGATGTTATACACGAAGCCTGGTAGAAAAGAGTATCAATGTGAGTCAGTGTTCCTGGATCATTGTTACCGCGTGGGCGGATGCCGCCACGTGTCCTATACTTGTATCTGTGGCTCGGGACATAATGGCGCCACTCTACACTATGGACACGCTTCCGCGCCAAACTCTAAGCTCATTCACGATGGTGATATGTGGTAAGTTAACTCATCTTACTTCTTACTAATATTATAAATGCGGAAGTTGTGGTTGTTTGTTGCTTAATCACGCCAAAACGGCTGGACCTATCTTGATAAAATTTGACACAGGTATAGGATACACTCCGGAATAAGACAGACTACTTTTTATCAACATACCACGCGGGAAAAGCCGCGGGCGATAGTTAGTACTAAAATAAAGTTTATTTAAAATCACTGCGTGTAATTAAATAAAGTTGAACGTAAATAGCCAATCCTAATCATGGCATATACATACATATACAGGCCGTCCCAAAACTCAACGATTAAGTGGTGACAGGATTTTAAAACAAACTGCTCTGGGAAATAAATGTCAGTTAATTTTATTATGAAAGAAAATCTAATAAACTTTGAAAACATCCCTCGAAAGCAAGGAGTCCCTTGTATTGTGATGCTTTGAAATATTGAAAAAAATTGTTTCTTTATATTTGTAGGTAATTGGGCAGCTTACCTAGTAGCCCCAATTTTTTCTGTTCTAATTAAGGATTTTAATTTTTACATGCATACCAAACATCACTTTATTAATGCAATTAACTACACACCTACATTACATTTACAGTACCTAAAAATAATATTTGTTAAACAAGATTTATTCTTTCAGTTTATTCGACATGGGCGGTAACTACGCGGGGTATGCCGCTGACATTACCTGCTCATTCCCAGCGAATGGAAAGTTCACTGAAGACCAGAAGCTTATCTACGAAGCTGTGCTCGCTGCAAGAGATGCTGTCATCAGGTATCTATTTATTTATTGCTATTTAAATTTGGTATAGACAAGCCAAGGCCAGGCAAATATCTTTTGAAACCAATTGCGGTTGATGTTAATTTTTTTGTTTGTAATTTGGGTTTGTCCTAATTTTTGGCTACCTCCATGCCAAAAAAGCGTGAATTTAGTTACTACACACTAATGTTAAGAGTTATAGAAGTTTTTGAACTCAACAATTTTAGTCAATAATATTGTTAAGGCACAATACCCTAAAAAGAGTGAGCAGAGAGGAGAGATTGAAGAGGAAGGTGTATATGTATAATAATATCCAGTTATGAATCAAACCCCAAGCGAATGCGCGCACCTTGTGTTTCTCTATTGTGTCTCGAATTATGTACCATGATTGACAGGTATAGTGGAAAGAATTAGCATCAGAACCCGCGCTAAGCCGGGCAGGTTGCTAGTACCCAATATTTGATTGAATACTTCGTTTTCTCAGGGAAGCTAAACCAGGAGTGCTGTGGACTGACATGCATTTAGCTGCCAACAGAGCTATGCTGGAACATTTGAAGAAAGGAGGTTTGCTTCAGGGCGATGTCGAAGACATGATTGCTGTAAGGGAATTTCTAGCGTATTTACTAAGTCATAAAGCATATTGTTTGCTGATATTTAACAATGAAACAATGAATTTATTTTTGCAAATAGGCCATAAAACGGCACTTTTACACGTCAATTTATATGTAAAAAACTAGATGAAGCCGGCATTTCCTATCTGACTACTCTGAGAAGAAATGCCGAAACAAACTCAGAGGTCAGTCTCTTTTCAAGTCCAGACAATGTAAAAATAACATAATGTGAGAGAACCGTGCAAGTTCATTCTGTAGTGGTCTTTTGATGAAAGAACCACACCAGTTAAAGGGGACCAATTTTTAAAAATTTCAATTTATTATAATAAATCTCTGACAGATTGCGATCACGGTCTGTTTGATACACCACCATGCATATAATTTATATATTGTAGTAATTACAGAGGGCAAGTGTGTGATATTACATTGATTATAACTGCTATGGGTACAAATATTAACAATAAAAAAAACCAAGAACAATATCCTAAATTCTAAAATTGAATATCGTAACAAAAAATATACCTTTATTTATTTTTTCGTCTTTTACAGAATGGAATCCACGGTATTCTGCAACCACATGGTCTAGGCCACCTGTTGGGGCTGGATGTCCACGACGTGGGCGGGTACCTACCACATTGCCCCCCTCGACCAACAGGCCCACTCGCCCGTTTGCGAACTGCGCGCCCTCTACTCGCAAATATGACGCTCACTATCGAACCTGGCTGCTATTTCATACCTAGGGTATGTTTGTACATCACTGTTATTTTATATTTTTTCTAATCGCTTATTACTTTAAACTGTGGTTTGTCAATGGCGACTTTGAAATTTCCAAAATGACCATACCTACCTATAATAAAGAAGGATGAAAGGAAAAGTATTTACACAAAATTTATTTTGACTGTTTCATGTTCCCGCAATATTTAGGTACCTACGACTTACAATAAGCCTACCTCTTACACAGAAGTTATCTACCTATGTTCAATATTCAATATATTAGGTTAGTTATTATAGGTCAGATTGATTTCAAAATTCTGTATTGACTAAAGACCCCTTTCTAGAAAAAGAGTCGTACAGGTAATTTGAATTTTTAACACTTTTCTTCCAGCTCTTAGACGGTGCTAAGAATAACCCAGCACAAGCAAAATTCTTCAACTGGGAAAAAATGGACAAGTTCCGAGGTTTCGGTGGCGTGCGTATTGAAGACGATGTACTCATTACCGAATCTGGGGTTGAGAACCTCACATTTGTTCCAAGGACGTAAGTTACTGTTACCTACATCATAATTTATGGAGTATAAATAATTTCTGTTGCTATAGTAACTCATCTATGACTGTAATTTCTTGAAAGTTCCCTAGGTACCTTATTTTTTCCCCTTTTATCCCCTGACTCACGTAACTGGCTTAATAATAATTTAGTTCAATTTTCGTAGGTATTTTTGTGCTAGTCTTACGTTTTCTGTGCGAATCGAAAACATATCCTAACCTACCATTCTGATAACAAAGAACTCGGTTTTTACAATCGCTCTGCCCTTCAACTAACATGATGGAAAACTTAACAACTATCACAAACTATTACTACTTATTGATAATTGGGTAGATTCATCATCATCAGCCAATAAGTGCCCACTACTGAGCAAAGGCCTCTTCTCATACGGAGAAGGTTAGAGCATTGATCACCACAAATTGGGTAGATTCCTAGGTCAAAAATAAATTAGTTCGACGTTTCAATAAAATATTGAAAAATAACCATACTTTTATTCATCGATCGATCGATACACTAAGTTTTAGATATTTTTTAGCTGAATATTAAGAAATAAGTAAGCTATTTGACGCAAAAATACTATGACGTCATAACTCAGTTTTTCATAGAAAAGTATAGTTTTTGACTTTTGGATAAAAGTATTGAATTTGACTAGTAGGAAACTACCGTATTGTTCCAATTATTTTATGATAGTTCTTGAACTACCTATTTTTTTTTTCATCATTTCATGAACAATGTTTCTTTTTTGCAGTGTTGCCGAAATTGAAGAACACATGGCTAATGGAGCTAACTTTAAAAGTTCATAAATGTAACCAGTAATCATTAGCAATGTTTTGTATTTCTTTATTGTATAGTATTAATATATAGTAGAAACTTTTATATCTATGTGTAATCGCATAATATCTGTATATTTATATAAGAATAAAGACATTTTAATATAAATAATATATTTTTATTGATCACAAAACTTTACGAACAAAGCTTTAAGGCTGATTTTTATTACGCAAAAATAATATCTTTTTGTTTTTAATATCATTTTAACAGTTGTTATTTACATGTATCTTATGTAGTTTTTCATTATCTTAGGAATAGGTAAGCTATCTAAGATAGAGAAGAATTGTTGTGTTGATTTAATTCCTCCTTTAACATTCCTAATCATGGCTCTGATTCTGATTCTGGATATGTGTTTTAATGATGGCACGTGGTATGAAAGGGACTCAACTGTTATGCCTTGCGTATTGCTGTCTAACATTTGCAAGAGTTCTTGTTGTACCTGTAACAATATTTTTTGCAAATTATTCATACCTTATACTTAAGAAAAGAAATTATTATTATACTTTCCACATATATTTAATGGGTCGGCATGGATCGGAGTGATTCCACGGCCTCACAGAAAACCGGCGCGAAACAACTACAGCGTTGTTTCGCCGTGTGAATGAGGTCACCAATCCTTCTCTCTCCCACCCTCGATTCCTCCCCAATTCTAAAATGTCAAAATCCCTAATCCCAAAAAGGTCGACAACGCACACGCTACTCTTCCGTTGTTGCGCGGTCCATAGGCGGCGATGATCGCTTACCATCAGACATCAGGTAATCTGTCAGCTCGATTGTCGTCCTACCGCATAAAAAAATATAGCAAATAGTACATAATGTAACTTTTTGCTAATAATAAAGTTAATAATAAATACGATCAATGCAAGCAAATAGGGCTACAATGATGGTTGATTGTAAATAAAATATATGATGTTGGCATTTACATACAGGCCAAAAATATAAAATCATACTAATGAGGTAACTTACTTGTGGTGGTATTAAGCCCAATTGCCCTTTTGACAAAGATGTCTGAAGTATTACTTCAGGCTCACACAATATACTGTATTGCAGTAAAATTGGTAATGAAATTGGAAAGAAATTCAACGCTGAGTAAAATACATCAGGAAAGACTGGGCTGTAGTCTGATGTCCATTCTGATGCACTGTTGTAATCTACATTGCATCCATGCTCCATAAGTATTTTGAAAACCTAAAAGTCATAATTTAATATTTAAATTATAATACTCCTATTCCAGTATGGAAACATTATTGGAAATATAATTTATTATAGAAAGAGGACTAAATATTTTTGGGCATTTTATTTTACTAAAAAAAACAAACAAAGAACCAAAAAGTTCCACCCAACTGTTACTTTACAATTAAAATATTTCCAAACTATGCACCAATATTCAATTTTAGTGTGTTTCATGTTGTGTTCGGTATTTATAACAAATCTCATGAAAGGAGGTAGTATATCTACTGTTTATCAATAAATCTCATCAAAAAATAACCATAATGTGATTACCCTATTTACAATTAACTTACTTCATGGAAGCATGATCCATTTACAAGATGTGCATGCACTAATGGTGGACATACACTAACATCACATGCATTAACCTCCACTCCTCTCATCAGGAACAAATAGAAAAATTCTCTAAACTTATCTGGAGACTTCTTATAAATGTATCCACAGATGTTCAGATATGAATTCAATGGAGCATTTGTCTTATAAATAGTTTTTTGCTCATCAAGCATATCTATCCTCTTTTGGTATGACTCATAAAAACTAAAAAATTCTGGACCCAAATCGCTGCTCAATAAAATTTCTAATATTTCTGAGTTAAAATTATGTGGTTTACAAGCATTAAATATTATATTTCTGTTTAATTTACTTGAATCTGTTACAGACAACAATACTTTGAACACTTCTGGACTACTTCCAATGCTCAATGCAATGTCTACAGCCATTTCTCCACTTTTGTTCTTTATGTGAGGATCAGCTCCATTGTTGAGCAAAAAATAAACAATATCATCATTCAACCCTTGGACAGCCAGTGTTAAAGGTGAATCTCCTGAAGAAGTGACTTGGTTTATATCAGTTATAAATGGAAATAGTGTTTCTACATTAGGGAAGTATCCTCTACAGCAAGCTAAATGGAATGGTGTAAAACAGCCCGGGTCATTCTTTATCTCTGGGTCAGCCCCAGCATACAGCAGAGTAACCAATGCTTCATTCTGCATAGCTAGGACTGCATCATGTAGGGGAGTATCTCCATCAAAATCCTGCACATTAATCATAGCCCCATATTCTATTAGTAATTCTATAAGCTGCACACTTCCTTGACTGCTAGCTATGTGTAGAGGCGTCACTCCCTCTGTGCTTCCATAGTTTGCAATATCATCTGCAGAATTTAGTAAAGCTGTGACAGTTTTCAGTGAACATTTGTTTTTACAAGCTAAGTAGAGTGCAGTGTGACCTTCATGAGTCTCAGCAAATGGTCTACATCGGGGGTTCTTTAAAATAAGTAAAACGCAATCATAATTATCATTATAAGCTGCTTCATGTAGACATGTCCATCCCCTGTTGTCAACGCAGTTTGGATTTATTTTTTGAAGTAGACGCTCAACATTCGCGACATCATTATTTCTAGCAGCTAAATTTAGGGCATTTGATGTTGCTGGATTGCGTGAGCTGAAGTCCATGTCCACTACGAATGCTCACTGACCCAACAACTTACAACAAACTAATTATTTATGTGCAATTATGCAATGAACAATAACAAATAATTGATTGATGATAATAACTAAATCATTTGGTCACTATATTAAAAAAATACATAGCGTATTGAGAGTAATAATCTAACATTGAAATAGAAAATATGTTTTTAGCTATCGACTTTTAAACAATGTTATTGAAATTACATTGTTTCACAAACACAAGCTCATGTCATTTGATTTGATGACACGATCGATTGGCATTGACAATGACATTGACATTTTCGTGACGTGGGTCAAATTTAATGTTTTTTTAATGTTCTTAGTCAAAAACTGATTTTATACAATAATTTTATTAATTAATAACATTTGGTTCTTGTTATTATAATTAATTTAAACTGCATTAATGACTTTTTAAACTACCCAACATATACGAATAAAGATACATATAAACCATTTAGGATATCTCTAATTAAAAAAAACGATAGTCCAGTCAGTCAGCGGCTCATTAATAAGACCCTCACCTTACGGCCTGGGCCTCAATGCGCCTCAGCAGTAATCTGAGGCGCAATATTTGACATGAAGGAAAATAGAAAAAAGTACCTAACCCTTCTAGGTTGTTGGAAAAAAAAGAGTAGGTAACGTACATACCTACTTAATACTTATCATCGAAATAATATATCACTCGTAATTAAAACATAATTTATTAAATCCAATAAAAGCATTTCAACTTCTGAGTCATACAAAATTTGTATATTTTTACATAATAATTTTAATATCTTTCTATTTTCCTACTTACATAATATATTCACCGAAATAGTTTGACAGTGAAAATGCAAACTGCTGTTGTCTGGTTTGTGAACCATTATGTCTTAAGAACTCAATAGTTAGATAATCATTTAGTTAAAAACACAATAAATTACATTAACTTGTAATAAAGATCAAGCGCGTTAAGTATACCTAGGTCATGGATATGTTATTATGATCTGTACTTTGAGTGCTATTTCAATAGAAGAAATATATCTCCAAAAATGGGGTTCCAATAAATACCTATTCTGTTTGTTTTAAAAAATTGTATAGGCAGTTTGTATTTTCTACAAATCTGTTTTAAATCAACGTTATCGTGGAATGCGCCTGCGATTCTAGAACGACTTACAAATAGATATAAAAATTGAAGAAAATAATGTCAATTGTAGATTTCTACGTATAAAAGCCAATATTATTAGCAATCAAATCACCATCACTCATGCATGCACATTAAATTCAAATCTTTAGGTAGATTTACAAAAAGTCTTATGCACGCATGCTATAAACTCAATATTTCTCGCTTCATTTATCCTACTACTATCAATCAGTCTAATCTTCAAAACATTGTCTAATTTGATTGACAATTAAGTATTTAATTTATTATTATTGGGTGTAGTTCCATTAGGAAATTTTAGAGGTGACATAGGTTTTACTCGAGGTATGGAGTTGGATCGGGGTGATCGGGGTGAAAGGGGAGATCTTGAACACCGTGCTGCGGGATATGGCCTAGGCCTGAGTTCCTCCGCGCTTCTAAATGTGTTTCGAGCGACTCGTCTTCGATATAGAGATGAAACTGTCGATTCTTGCAGCAAACATCTGAAAAACATTAAGCAGCATAAACCTAATGTTCACAATAATGGACGTATTTATAAGTAAGTAGGTACCTATGAGTAATCAATTCCTTTTTTTAATGAGATAGGTTAAGTTTATACGATCACTTGTATCACCTGGTGGTAAGCAAACGGCGCCCCACCCATCGGCACTCGTAGCACCATAGTTACCTACAAGTGCGTTACCGGCCTTTTGTGGGTTGGGATTTAAGGATATGGCATTTGGGGATTGAGGATGTGGGAGGTCGTAAAGCTTGGGCCTCCGGTAAATTCACGCACAAGGCAAAACACAGCGATATGATTGTTTCACGGTTGTTTTCTGCGACACCGTGGTGTCATTCTGGTCACTTGTCCATTCGTGCTGAATCATGGCTCTCCCAAACTTGCATGCCTCTGCTATACCTACATTCTACTTGACTTGTAACTTACGCTTGTACGTTATTAAAAAATGTGTACGAACTATTTAAATCAAAGGCTCACTTTTCTAATTCTGAGAGTAGTTGCTTAGGGGTTGAGGATGCAACAGGACGAGCACGTCCTAATTTCGCGCGCGTTGACTGAAGCATTTGTTGGGTCACTAACGGCTGTTGAGTTTGTTTCAGATCAGGTTTCGCACGTACTGGATTATCCTAGAACATTATAATATAAGTAGTAGTTTATTTGGTTCGGATCATAAAAAAAAAATTAATTTGCGAAGAATGAGTCAAGTTTAGACTGCATCAATCAATTGCACACATCAAATAACAACTATATCTATCAATTGTTCAGTCAGCTAACGTGACTTGGCTCTCCGATTAAGCTTGCTTGAACCAATTCCTAGTTATACAGTCAATCAGTACCTACCAGTCCTAAGCAGCTCGAGGAGAAAGTTAACTAGTGTACGTACCCTTGTCTTTCTCAGTTTGACATTAGCGATGTCTTGTGGTGTAATAGCGAGCCGGGGTCCCACAATTCTAGGTGGTGCCGAACCACATCTAGGTATGGTGTGTGATCGGACGGGTAATTTTGTCATAGAAGAAGGCGGCGGTGGCGGTGGCGGTGGTGGTGGTGGCGGCGGTGGTGGCGGAGGACATTGAAAACTCGGTGTACTTTCGTGCTTTCTAAAAAAAACAACATGTTAACTTAATGTATCTCACAGACATTGCTTGGCCTGACGTCTTACGTAATTGATTTTGCGTGAAACCTTTCTAGGTGTTACTTAGATATAGATGATCATCACTGATAGGTAAAATGAAAAACAAGGAATTTAAAAATAAGAGGCAGGAGGTTTCTTAATAATATTGCATCATGAAACGGAGTACAGCAAACGGGCATGAAGTATCTGGTAACTTTTCCAGGTCGAGCAAACCAAACGGTTTTTGAAACCTCAATTATCTACCTACCGAAAGGCACACGTACAAGCACTTCGTGGTACGTTTACAATTAAATTGAAAGTATGTCAATTATGTCTACATTCTAAAAATAAATTATTAAAGGGAAAGGTTTACCTGATCTTACCCTCGAGTTGTTCTATTTTTTGCATCATCATTTTCATGCCTTCTTTTAATGTCTCATTTTCTTGGGCCAGCCGTTCCTGCTTTTTATCTACTTCCTTTAAATAAATTCTTAGCTCTCGTAACTCTTCTGTATTTTCATTATTTTTCTGATGAACTAGCGGCTCGCGCAGTATGTCGGAGTACAGTCCAGTGATTGATTGATAGCCCTGAAGAAGAAAGTTGATAATAAAACAATTATCCAAAGCAGGTTGATACTATAGTTGGTAAAGAATATAATCCACATTTTTAATGATTACTGTGTGGGGGAAATCATCAAACTGCTTCTCCCGCCCAGGGCCGCGCGGAACTATACGCGCCTTACGCTCGGGTTTGATTCTGTTCGGGCGGCGAGCTACCCTTACTCGCCGTCCGCAGACCCGCGCTTACGGTGGCCGGAGATCGTCTCTTGATAACGTAGGTGCCTCGCGCCTTGGTTAAGATAATATTATTGGAAGACTCAAGTAACTTTTCAACGTGTCCCACACTCGGTGCGACCATTAGACGAAGTTTTTAATGAGCTATCTATTAGTTTGGCTCGACAGGAGTGCGACACCACGGCCTTACAGAAAACCAGCGTGAAACAACCACGGCGTTGTTAAGCCGTGTGAGTTAGGTTATCGGAGGCCTAATACTTTCCTCCATCACCTAATCCCTCCCCAATCTTCAAATCCCTAATCTCTAAAAGTTCAGCAACGCACTCGTACCTAACTCCTATGTTGTTGCGGGTATTCATGAGCGGCGCTGATTGCTTACTATCTGCTAGGTTGCCGTCCAAATCATAAAAAAATAATTAAATGCAATTTAGTACCGAGAGCAACTAATTATCATTAATACTTCTTGAGTGTTTTAACCACGTTTTAACTTAAGCAAGATATAAATATCTTCAAGATATATACGAACTTGTCACTCTTCGATGTATCAAAAATTGGTTTAAAAGTAGGTACAAGTGATAAAACAGCTACAAATTGCATGTTCTCATCACTCCATTAGTTACATAAGCTATGTTTATGTTTCCCAAGTTATTTATAGCTTAAATCAATTCGAGATAAAAACAAGATAGATAACAAATTTTCAGTAGGTACTGAATCAAGGAATAGTTAAGTATTTACATTCTATAAGTACTACACCTTAAATTTGTGTAGGTATAGCCCTAAAACGATATTCGTAAACAATAGATCAAATCAATTAAATCCAACATAACACAAAAAATAATCGTTGTTATCCTAACGCCTTTTACTTGTAGATAGGATAGGCAGAAGCTATAATATCGTTGGACGTGTTTCTCGTATGAAAACCAAAGTACTTAGATAAATTTTTGGGGATACTAACTACCTTTCTTCCGATCCACGCACAGAGGTCGACGATTTTCCAAGTTTTGGGCTTGCTGTTGCGGCGGTGGTTCCTCTCCTTTCGCGGCGTCCCACCTGACAACATGAACCACTCCATATCACTCAACTGTCCAGTATCCAAAGCACATTCTATCTCTAATTCCACCTTTATGCTATTCTGTGTCAGCGCACCCATAGCTGAATTAGTTTTGAAACAAATGACATAGGTACTCCCCAACTTGGCACTTGTATACAAATACACATAGGTAAACACGAATTAATTTAACGTTTTTTAAAGCTGAGTTATTATCCTCAGTCGCCTTCGACCGTTACCACCGAACTTGAATGTAAAGCGCGGCGATGATGTCACTACTATATTAGCAGCTGACTGAGTGCCTCGAGATGTTTGCAACAAAAAGAGTTAGGTATACTGCGATAACAAGTTCGAGTTGCTACAAGTAACCCCTACTTTGTTATATGTAGCCTTATCATTTTATTCAATGACGACATCATTATTAGTAACCTAGAACTACTTCTTGTTGGTTCGTCGATTTCTGAATATTTTGAGAAAAGCTATTTCTTACGTGCGTAGGTGCTACCTATACTTAATTCCCCAAGTGCAAATCACACACCTAACAAATCGCTTTAATTGTAAATATTAAAACACGTCGTTGTTTTAAGCTTTGTACACTTATGTATCTACTATTTAAGCAGTAAGTAGATATCCAGAGACCCGTTATTACTAGGTGGGTTTGAATCACCTGTTTAATAACATAACTAGCAAAATGTGGATGCAGCTACTCCTTTATAACGATACCTACCTCGAAAAAGACTAGTTTTGATGAAATTCATAATGATATGCGAAATCTACCTTTCGAAGCTACTAATAATGTTAATACTTAGGTATGTGTTTATTACCTGGTGTTGGATTTTCAGAGAAATTATGTTTTATAAAATTATTACCCCTGCGTGATCTCTGAAGGGCTTCTCTGAACAAGTTTGACTCAGATTTTAAACGTCTTTTTCGAACCTTAAATGAATGGTTGCTGTTAATCGATTTAAATGATGTGTCAGAATTACTAGACAAGGAAGACGGTGGCCCCTGCTCTACTTGAGGATCAGTCAGATCAGACGTGCTTGATGAACAAGAACCTGAACACTTCTTTTTCCAAGGCTGCATTTCTTTATTTTCTCCATCACTGGAGTCCCGTCTATAACGTTTAGATCCTACTGACTGTTCTAAAGTCTCATTCGATGTTGATTCCTGCACGTTGAAGTCCTTGCTAAAGGAAAGGCTCACGTCAACAAAGCTGCAGTTAACTGGCAGAGTCACAAATGGTTCCGTTTGTGTGGAACTGCTGGTGGCATTCCCCGAACTAGAATTGAGGTCGTCAGTGCCCATGATGCTCACAAACGGAGGTGTCTTATTGTTTTCATGAGAGGAAATAATATTACGATCCCAAGAAGTATTTATCGCATCCTGTTGAGGGCATTTCCTTATAACTTCGATTGAATTATTGCAAAATTCTCTTTCTTCTGACGTATCGATGACGGCAATAGCACTTTTTTCTTCTTGTTCAAAAGACATCTTGAAGTTTATTCACTCACTTTTTACGTAAACAAATACTTTTTTGTTACATAATCGTTAAAAAATAAACGTGTTTAGTTTGTTTAGCTTAGCATTACTTCAAATCAAAATAGGTATCGAACGTTTGTATCCAATTAAGTAAACCTACCCTCAATTTTAATTTTATTAATATTAGACTAGGTTCTCAATATTTTTATAGATGTCAATGAATTTCAATGAAAGTGAAATTAAAACGCTATTAAAATTATGATTGATTAGATGAATAAGTTTTATTGATAAGAAAGTAATTCAGTAAGTTAATTTTCGAGTTTTTGAAGACACGAAGGATCCAGGTCCTCTGTATCCGACCGAAATTGATGTCGAATTGTATTCTATCAAAACCGATTAAATTAAACGCCATACGGTACGTCACTGTCATTTTGAGTCATATTGTGTCATTCTGTCATTTTAAAGTTTTGGCTGGCTATGGATTTCCTAGTCCTAGTCCTAAAAAGCGATCGATCAAAAGTAAACAAGAAGATTATTTAATTAAACTGACCTGTATTTTCATACTTTTAGACTATTACAATAAAGGGAGCATAATTTTGGGAAAAATGCGTCATGTCTTTAAAAAGAAAATTATTTACTGTGGTGTCATTGTCATAACTTTAATTATTTTGCTGCATCCCGATATGAATGCTCGACGTTCTTACGAGTATATCGAGAAAGAAAATATTCTAAGTTGCTTACATGAAGCAACTGCTGTGAACTTTACTAGCACCGCTGTACTTGACTGTGATTATAACGAAATTATACACGATGAAACTACTCTGTCCATTAGTTTAGTTGACGGAGACCTGATAGAAGGACATAAAATTAAGGAAGGTGGAGAATATTCTCCTTCTAATTGTAAACCAAAGTATAGCACAGCTATTATTGTCCCATACAGGTAAACAAATATTTATTTGAATTGAATAAACTCTTGATACCTGTCACAATTTGTAAGCAATCATTCTAATATTACTTACAGGGATAAAGCTGAACAGTTACGTGGATTTCTAGTCTACATGCACACATACTTTCATCGCCAACACATCCATTACAGAATATATGTTGTAGAACAAGTGGACTCTAGGCCCTTCAACCGAGCCAAGCTCATGAATATTGGGGCAGCAGCTGCTATGAAAGCAGGCTATCCTTGCCTCATACTACATGATGTGGACCTTTTGCCTTTGAGGCCGGCTAACTTGTATGCTTGTACTGAAAGGCCTAGGCATATGTCTTCTAGCATCAACAAGTTTAGGTGTGTAGTTGTCATAACATAAAATACTCTCTCATAAAAAACTTTTTTTGCTGTCTTACCATTCTTTACAACTTTGCTTCTTGTTTTTGGTTTTTTGTTTTAGTTGAGCACAAAGCAGCATAAACCATACATAATATGTATGTAATGGACTAAAACATAACATTACTTTTGTACATTGCTCAGAGAAACCATTTAGTTAATTTCATTTAAAAGGTATGCTATTTTGTTTAATTTACGTTTTGTTATTTTTACATGCAAAAATAAAAATAAAATATTTATTACTCTGTTACAAAATGGTCTTCATTTTCAGATTTGTTTTGCCATATTTAAACCTCTTTGGTGGTGCTATAGCAATTCTTTCAAAGCAATTTAAAACTATTAATGGTATGAGCAATGAGTATTATGGTGTGGCTGGTGAAGATGATGACCTGTATTCTAGGTTAGAAGCAAATGACCTTAAGGTATGCAGGTTCCAACCAGAAACAAGCCGCTACCATATGGTGTCATCTAAGGCTGAAAAAAGGTTGTAAGTATGACTTTTTGTTTTACCAAGTCTGGTTACTTACGGAAGTCATGCACCATTAAGTTTTGCATGCTAGGCTGAAACTGTAATGAGTATAAGCTAGCATATAGAATAGAACTATAACAGCAACTAAATTATACATTTGATTAAAAAAAAACAGAACGGAAAGTTCTTAGAATTTTGAAATTTATAGCTCTGCACTGTGCTTACAAATAGCAATCCACAAAAAGTCTCAGTTTTTCAATAATAGCATTAAATTATTGCTGAAAATATGAAAACAAAGTTAGAAACATTTTCAAGATATACAGATTAGAGTAGTTTTTATTGTTTTTGTATAGGACCAATTCTAGTTCAGCATTCTAAGGCTGTTGACTGCATAAATCCCTGTTGGATCTATAACTAAATCTGTATCTACATCTTAATCCTTTGAAAAATATTGATTTATGTCATTGAAGAAATACAAAAATATTTTCAGGGAACAACGAAAAAAGGAGTCAATGTTTTCTAAGGAAAGGATGGCAACAGATGGTTTAAACTCATTAAAATACACAGAGGTCGCCACTGTCCTTCATCCACTTTTTACCCATATCATGGTTGACTTGTAGCATATCATTGAAAACTACTATAATTACAACCATTTGATTAGGTATTTAAAACTTGTATAGAAAATCTACAAAGCACTTATCTCAATCAATTCTCTGTATGCATGAGTATTATTGGTTAATATTTTAGTATATTATATAGTGTTTAAAAAATTGAAGGTGGATTTACCTTGGTACATTAAATTAAATACCAAATCAAATGAACTCTCATATCACTTGTTCAATTTTGCTTTAATTAAATGAACTTTTAAGACCACTTTAAACTAAGTAGCAAGTTAGTAAGCTAGAATCTTAGAAACTAATTCTCCAAAAATTTACAAGGTCTTTCAACTTTAGCTTGACTAGAATAGAATTGATCAATAGTGTAGTTAAACCTAAAATAAAACTTTTACCTTATGTGAAGAGAGACAGATTTAGAAATACCATTCCATTTATTCTTAAATAAAATAAACCAACTTGCATATGGCTAGTTAGTTGCCAAGGGCGTCGCCAGTCGATGGCGCAGGTGGGGGAGTTGACTACAAAAGTCATTCAAAAAATATAAGACCTATTTTAAAATTAATCGGTGTTGCAGGAGCAACTTTTAAAATTAAGTAGGTACTGCAACAATACGGTAGTTTCCAACTAGTCAAATTCAATACTTTTATCCAAACGTCAAAACGATACTATGAAATTTGTATGAAAAACTGAGCTATGACGTCATAACATTTTTGAGTCAAATAGGTTACTTATTTCACAATAATTAGTTAAAAAAAATCTAAAACTTGGTGTATCGATCGATCGATGAATAAAAGTATAGTTATTTTTCAATATTTTATAGTATTGAAACATCGAATTAATTTATTTTTGACCTAGGAAACTATCCAATAATAATAATTTGACCCGATATTGGTATACAAGTACTCACTTTGCAAAAATAAATTCATTGTTTCATTGTTTCACTCATAAACCTACTTGATACTTAGATGTCTCATTTCTAAATCTGTCCTCGTCGCAAAATTAGAACTAAGAAGACCAAATCTGCTATACCGCTAATGTTCCTATTGTCATTTCAATCTTATTAAAGCAATAATAATGAAACATTGTGATATTCTTGTTGAGGGATTGAACGATATCTGTCCATAGAATTCCGATAGTTAATTACTATAGTGCAATTACATCTACATATTAGCATGTTAAAAACTTTAAACTTTTAAAAATTGTTGACTTGTTTTAAATTGTTTCTATATACATATTAGCAATCGTTTAGCCGAAATACATGTTTAAAAGTACTGCGTAGAATTGTCATTGTTATGTCGTCAAAAGAATACTTTGTGTGAGTTACATATTTTCCAACACAACAGTTCCAACATAAGGATTAGTTTTAATTGTGTCGATCCGCAACTATTGACGTCACTTGCCTGTGTCTGCTGAACGTTAAAAATATGATGATCAATTATGAAATACCTACTCGTGTGATGTACGGTAATAGAAGCATTATTGTAAGTATGTACTAATTTATTGTAATGTAACGTCATATCACTGGGAAACAAAGGAATTGGATGGAAATAAAATAAACGATTAGAAAATGTAGGTTTATAATAGACTGGGTGATACTTACCTAATGGTTTGTTGTGATTTAAGAATATGGTTGACTATTGAATTTGAGATTTAACTCAGAATAAATCGAGTTGTTTTTGTAAGCAAGTACAATTTGTGTGTTGTCTAAATTATTTATCTACCTACGTAATGTTAATACAGTAGTAGTTTATAAAATGTATTGTGCAAACTTAGCCGTCCGACAACAGCAAATATTAATTTATTGACCTACTTATGTATTTTAGAATAACTCGCAAAACAGAATTTTAGATAAGTACAATTCATTATCTTATTTTATCCCTTTAGAAATAGATGTTGCCTAAATAGCCTAGCTAGTGCAATTGCTCAAAATCACGCGAGAATACTTACAGACCTATTAAAATCACTTAAAACACTGGTAGCAAATAAAAACTGTTAAAAGATATTTGTTTTTTTTTTTTTTTAAACCCTTATATTTGCAAACTTGTGGCGTAGCACTATTTGTTAGGTAGGTAGTAAGTAAGAAGGTAACCTATATATAGAAAATAATGTTGCTATTCTTAAATATGTGGTAGTTGACTGTTAAGTAAGTATAGGACTATTTATGGGTTAGGTAGTGAGTGACAAACCCCTTTTAAAAGCAAATAGGAAAGCTTTGCGCTCAAGCTAAAAGACTGTTTGGTAGATTAATATGTAGGTATGTATTTATTATCTTTTTTTTTTTAAGGTGGTTATCGAATTATGTCCTCGCTCAGTGAGGAGCGAGGGAGTGGCAAACTCTTACTGACTAATAACCAACCCTTTTCTTCTGACGTCGCGGTACATTATTGCGCTTGCCCCACAACCCCGGCTGAGCACCACACCACAGATGGCGCCCATTAGGCCCCTATCGGTGGTGGTCTACCAGCAAACCACTATACTATACTTATACTATACTTGTTCAGCAGAGCAATAAATATTTAATGTTATCACTTCAAGTAAGTAACTATTTTAAATGTACTGGGAACTTTAACGAAAACAAAAAAAGTCAGTTGATTGATTTGTAGATATATTTGGCATGAACATTTTCACAGCAGGTGGTCCCAAATCACAGGGGGAATCAATAAAATACATAAATTAATCTGTGGAATAAGTATTGGTAAAATTTTGTCATGATATTTACAACAATAATTACAAAATACTTATATTATGGACATTAAACACAACGAAATGTTAGGGGGGTGTACACGTAAGTGAACACAAAAGTAACATTATTGTAGATATTACATCGAGATATTTACACGAGAACAATTATAGCCTGCCTATCACCATAACCATTTTACAGACATATAATTTAAAATTGTTTCCACATACCTTAAGGAAAAGCCTTATTTTAGCTAAGTAAGAATACAATTGTAATTTGAATGTAAAATGCCACACATTTGCAATTAGAACCTAAATCTAAAAGTTACATTAGGTACACATAATATAATTTTGCACCATAGACCTATCACAAAGTAAGACTCAAGGAACTTAATACTAATTTACAAGAATATTATAGCACTCAAATGTTTTAAAATAATCACAATTTAAAATAACATATCATTTATTTGTCAGATTATGTAACAATTATATTTTTTAGGGTTTCACCACACATATTAATTATTAATTTCGGATTATATAATAATAATATCAGTTGACCAATTATTAATCATCAATGAGTATGGCAACACCTTTGCAATAATATTATTGAAATGTCTTAAAAACAACACAAAAAATGCAAGCTGCACACATAAAACCGTAATCCTACCAAATGCATAATTAATTTGTATCATTTCATTTAATATTTTTTGCAATAGAGGCATTTAATAATTTCCTATTAAGCTCTGCAGGTACTCTTCACTGCTCTATAACCTGAAACTTCTTTTTCTAAATAGTAAACTAAATTCGTAAGATTCAAATAGATACCATTACTCTTTATTTTTAAGTCATGGTTCGTAAATATTCTATTTTATATTCCGCCTGTATCATGAAATATTATTGCCAATGCCTATTCATGTCTTTTCAAAATTGTGGAGTATCAAATCAGTTAGTCTATTTGTACCTTATATTTTGGGGCTTTGAAGTAATATAACTTTGATGACTTATTATAAGTAGAGAATTTAGGCATAAACTAAAAAAGATAAAGTGCAAACTCCTATGTAATAAATCATTTAGCTCATTCAGCTTTCCATGTTAGCGTAGCTGTATTTTAGATAATTTTCCCAGTACTAGATAAACAGTTATCTTAACTAAAAATCGCGGGTTACTCACGTTTAAATATTGAGAAAAGCTCTACTAGTTTCGAACCACAGAGGGGTTCTTCCTGTACTACTGTAGCCTCAGTAGGCTGCGCGACGTCGCCGCGTCCGCGCACGCTGCTCATGAGGAAGAACCCCTCTGTGGTTCGAAACTAGTAGAGCTTTTCTCAATATTTAAACGTGAGTTCCCGCGATTTTTAGTTAATTTAGTATGTCTCACGATAGTTACTATAAAAACAGTTATCTGTACATTATAGTGAACACAGTTTTTTTTATTTCAATACTGAGAGAACAGCATTGGAATAATATTTAAGAATACAGACATATTACAATGTAACTATGGTCGTAAAACAAGCATACATACAAGTCCAAGAACAAAAGAAAATACTAATTTGAGATTTGAGCCGATGTGTAACCAGTCAGGCCATTGTGATTTCACAAGCTCCTCTGGTTGTGTTGGAAGAAGGAGGGCAGCGATGCAACATATACTTACTGCTATCGCCACTACATTTACAGGCTGTTGTTCTCTGAAAAAGAAAATAGACTTATGACTACAGACTTACAGTGCATAATGCCTTGTTTGCAGTTGGAATAGATATGGATGAATTTGTTTAGATTATCATGGCGTTTCAAGAATTTCTTTAACAATAGCAACAATAAAGTAAAGAGTAAATTTTTACTCAGCCCAAATTAGCCCACATAGCACATTGGACTAATTTACTCTGGACTACTATCATATTATTTTTGAAATGTATCCTTTTATGTAAAATTGTAAGCAGATATGAAATGTATTGAAAATAACAACTTACTCATATAAACTAACTAGAGAAGCTCTACAAACTACTACAGGTGTCACCAGGCTGTGCACACAGCTCACAAGTAAGAGTCTCATTGAGACTCAAAACTAGAAGAGCATTTCTCAGATATATCATGTGATTAACTCACTATTGTCAAATAATGTTCTCTTCTAGATTTTAATGGTTATTTATTATGTTAATCTATAATAATATTATAGAGGTCAAATTTGTAAATTTGTCTGTAGGCGGCAATCTAGGGAACCACTGTTTGGATTGCCAAAATTCTTTCACTGATAGATGTTCCTGAGTGCTATAGGCTATAAAACATCACGCTACGATCAAAGGAGCTGAACAGTGCAGCGGGTGAAACCGCGCGAGAGTAGCTAGTCAATAATATAATAAAAATACTATTATGAATTTTAATACAATCTTATATTGCTATCATGATCTAATAAATAAAAACAAGCAATAAATTACCAGAACAAAAACCCAGTCATTTGTTTTACACACACTAAAATGGCCTAGAACAATTTCTTAACAATTCAAGGCTATATTTCATTACAATAACATTGCTATCAATGTAAATTAACTATTATCATTTGTAATGAATTTGAATAATATTTTTAAAGCCATATATTTTTGATAGTGTATCAACAACATTATCAGTTATCTGGTATTATTTTGTTTTTCATAACAAAAACAATTATTTACTGTAAGTACTATCAAGTCTACATTAATTAAGGGCTACCTATTGAACTTATATGTGAATAAACTTGTTTGAATAAATTAATTTAAAATGTTTATTCCAGGTTCTTGCAAATACCTATTGAATTCATGATAATTATACTTACAAAAAGTTTAATATTAAACTTGTAATTACTTTCCTGTGACCACTTAAATACATAATTTGGTCAATTTCTAAAAATCCCATGTTGATTTGGAGCCTTGAACTCTAAAAACACCACATGGACAATGGCCACATCCATTGTCCATGTGGTGTCTTTAGAGTTCAGTTTAGTTATTGCCAAAAATAAAAGATTGCTGGTAGTTAGTTAACTTAAACATGTAAAAATTTTTTAAAATGCTATAGGCTGCAGACTGAATTATTGGCTTTAAATTTGTAGCGACATCTAGCGCACTACATAAACAACAGCACCAATCACGTGCAAGAGTCTACATCGCGCTATAAGAGTTTTCCACACAATTAGCACCTATACAGATATCCCGACAACAACCGTCGGGCAGTAGCCCACCAGGCACGAACACCTCGCCTGGTCGGAGGATCCTCCCTTTTCAATGGAGGATGAGGAACTTTCCACCCTGTCCCTCATACCTCCAAACTGGTGACCCCGAGCATGAACATCAACGCAGCCTTCGTGCAACTACGTCATAGCCATGACGTCATCACTTCCTCGAGCTTTCAAGCAGCGAATCCTACAGTCAGCCAGCTTCCACAGCTACAACGGGTTCCCTGACCACCAGCATGCAGCCAACGCGCATTCCTGGTCAGCACCTACAGCCTCATCAGCAACTTCGGCACAGCATACTGCACCGGCCGGTCAGCAAGCAGAGACGTACTCCCTCTCCTGGTCGACGCAGCAGCTAGCCATTCTTCAGCACTGCACCACCCGACTCACTGGGCATCTTCGCAGACAGATTCGACGCACTGAAACCATCAACTGGCTCGACAAGCATCTCACAGACGTCTCAACCAGCTAACGACCTCCGGTCTCGGAGGGGAGTGATGTAGCGACATCTAGCGCACTACATAAACAACAGCACCAATCACGTGCAAGAGTCTACATCGCGCTATAAGAGTTTTCCACACAATTAGCACCTATACAGATATCCCGACAACAACCGTCGGGCAGTAGCCCACCAGGCACGAACACCTCGCCTGGTCGGAGGATCCTCCCTTTTCAATGGAGGATGAGGAACTTTCCACCCTGTTCCTCATACCTCTAAAAATTCATCAATGAAGAGGAAATAATTCAAGAAGACTAGCTAAATTTACTCTGACATTATTATTTTGTATAACAGTTTTCTTCTGATATTGAAGAGTTAATAAATTGTAATCCAAATAACACTGACCTGTGGGAAACATGTGAACATGGTGCCACTCGGGAATGTTCCTCTGTTGATCTCAAAGGAGCTGGCCTCATTGTAAGAGGATGGAAATCATCCCCTAAACACTCTTGACTTATATTTGAAGGCTCTCCTTCTATCAACTTTGTCAAAACGTCCCTTTTACCGAGAACCTGCAATAACGAATTAAACATGTTTTTTAAATATTCATGAATCATTAATTAATTTGAATATATTTCGAAACAGCTGTGTCAATTTGAAAACGCGCATCACCTTCCTTTCAAGGTGCTAATAAATTTAGAATGGAATTGATAAACGTACCTGCTGGGTGTTTTTGTCGTACATGGTTATTCTAAACTTCTCAATTGAGTCAGAATGTGTTTGTGACAGCTGTGTGTATCGAACTACTATGTCGATGCAACTCTGTGGAGCGATCACACCTTCAGGGTCAATAACGGTAAACTTCTTGGGCGAGGTACATAGTACTGAAAAAAAAACCCACTTATATTAAACAAAAACTCTACAAGACAATTATTATGACACGTTTCATTTATTCCCAATATGTACCTTTAAAATTTACAGGGAATTCATAAGGGTTGTAGACAGTTAGTAATTGCTTGTGTGTATGTCTTGCATTAAGATAAAATTCCAATGACACTGGAAAAACGAAAACGGGCAAATTTTTCATTTTTATTATTATTTCGTTACAACACAATAGAAAAACAATAACAATTTCACGATAGCACAAACACCACTGACATGACAATGACGTTACGTGACGTTGTTTTGACAGTACTTTTATCAATGCCATAGAGTGCTTGAAAACATATCGATATATTTCAACTCAATAATATTGAGTAAAGCAAATATTATTTGAATTGCCTGTAATTATATCGTCAATATTTTTAGTATCGAATGGGCCAATTTAGCTTTTATTATTTTAAAAGCCTAAATAGGTATAATTTGAATCTTATTGTCTCGAGCTGCCATGATGCCCCAGAAAAAAATATGGGTTATACAAAATTAGATTATGGGAAAGACTTCTTCGATGATGTTTTTAGGTATAGGTACTAGCCCATGATCCATGCGACGAAAAGGGCGGTAGTGTCCATTTAACCCTCTATTTTTTCTTACAAGAACATATTCCTGACAATAACATAGGAGTAAAATGAAATGGCATCATATTCCGATTCATTTTATAAATATAGAAGACTAGCGGCCGGTACGACCATCCTTAGGTATTGTTCTGAAGAAACCAGCTTCTAAATAGTGCAGGATCGTTTCGATCTCTAGCCCCGTAAGTGCAGGGTGCCAGACTCGAGCGTACAGCGCATAGCGTTCAGCACGCGCCTCTAAGAGTCAATGGGGCACAAACAGGGTTGATTTTCATTTGGGATTGCAGGGCAAGCGCAATAAGTCACCATGGCTTTGGCCTAGAATAGGAGAAGGAATGGGGGGTTTTTAGTCTGTAGGTAAGAGGTTGACACTCATGGGCGAGAGCTTCTCTCGCCCATGAGTGTCAACCTCTTACTTGAAGATCACTTGAAGATGTTCCCCAAACATAAAAACCCGTCAGTCAGTTGCAGTATTAAGGCCATTAGGCCGTTAGGGTATTTATGTTCTGTGATTAAGGCGCCATACATGGCCATAACTCATAAGATCATCTTGGCTTGAGAACCACCTGCAAAATGCTCTCAGACCCACCCCCAATTTAGGAAGGAGTGTAGGAATCGCGCCCTTAGAGAATAATAATATGAACTTAGGCGGTAGCCAGCTGCCAAAAAGTGAAAGCTGGCAGGCTGTCTAGTACCGAATACTTCTTGGTTAACTCGACAGCTATTCAAGCTTTCATCAATAACGAAATGTGTGGCGTAGGTTTGTCCTACTTTTACAATTTGCGTCTCGGTTTCGGTGTAGTATGATTATAAAACATATTTTAACGGTAATAATAATCGAGGGACGATCTCCGGCCACCGTAAGTACGGGCCTGCGGTCGGCGAGTAAGGGCAGCTCGCCGCCCGACCAGAACCAGGCCCGAGCGTACGGCGCGTAGCGTTCCGCGCGCGCCTCAAAGAGCCATTCGACCACCACAGACGGGGCCCTAAAGGGCTGATGTTCAGCCGGGGTTGCGGGGTAAGCGCAATGAGGTAGCGCGACCTCGGCACAGAGCAGGAGAAGGAACAGGGGGGTTTTTAGTCAGTAAGAGTCTGACACTCCCTCCTGCCCGGCCCTGGGCGGGAGAAGTCATTTGATGATTTTCCCCTCACAAAAAAAAAAAAAAAAAAAACGGTAATAATAATATGTAATTAATCTTGCCTTAATTGGCTGGCTTGAGTTTAGATTCGCAAGAGTAGGAGTTAAAGGAGACTCGGGGCAAGGATGTATCCCAGTAAGGTGCTGGTAGGGGTCTTGACCGTACTTCCGGGATTGCTCTGATAGCCGTGGGATGCCTTATCTTCCCCAAGCAGCTCAACCTATGTTGCCCCCGTGTCGCTACATGCTAGCGGCCGTTTCCGGGGGCCCATTAATTGCGTTTGCCAGTCACCCCCTGCCTGTTTATCCATATGTATCAATATTGGTCAGGGGCAGGGGCCATAGTATTTCCATAGTTTTCATCCACTAGTGCATAGCAACCCATACCCATAACCCTATTAATTTTTACCACATTTGACAATAGTCCTGCATCAACCGGGGATTGTACTTGGGTGCACTTATAATAGTGCATACAGGGATAATTGCCGGCTGATGTCCCATCACATTTAGATTAAAACTGTTAAACGGGCCTCTGCGTGTTGGCTTCGGCTCCTCGTACGCCTTCCAAAGGTCCGGGATCCTGTGGTCCCGTGAAAGGAAAGAACAAACAAATAATATGTAATTATTTTTGTAAGTATATAGGTACACAGGGGAGCTTTCGTTGATTGTAACTTTTTTGACATAAATGAATTCTATCCCTTTTTTGTATTGAGACAGTTGGAAGGCTGTAAAGAATATAGGATACGTCGAGTACCGGTAAAAATAATAATTTTCAACTATGACGCGAGCGGCTATGACCTATTCTAATCACCCATTAAAAATTTTAAAAGATTGGTCTTGGATTAAATTTAAAAACAAACATTGTTTTGGTTCGTTTATTTTTGAAATACAAATTGTGTTGAACATTTTTATGTACTAAGGGTGACAAAAATGCATGGAGAGCTTAAGGTCGACTATTGACTGACAGGTTTTGCATAACGCTACCATTGATAACTAGATGGCGCTGCTTTTAAATGAAAATAACCATGCAAAGCTTGAATACTTTACACTGCAGAGGCACACAATAAGATTTTTAATGGTTAAAATAATAACTAAGAAACAATAATATATTTATATTCAAATACACATAAATTATGTTAATTTTCACATTTCCGAGGACTTAATATAGCGCCATCTAAGTCAAGTCAAGCAAACCAATTAAAAGATGGCGTCAATAATTAATAATAGACAATAATAAAAGTTATAAACTAACCCGCATTTTCGATATCATTAAAAATGCGATCGGTAGCTCGAATAAATAAGAATGATAGTATAATGAATTAGAAGGGCACCGGTTCAATTCCGGGTTATCATTTTTAAATTCAGGTTTTTTAACAATGTTTTTTTTATATTTTTTTATATAAAATCAATAATAATAATATATAAATAAAATATTTGACGTTTAATATTTATAAAAGATAACAAAAATAAATAAATATATTATTTTAGAATAAAATTATATTAATAAATATATATAAATAACTTTTATAATATGTGCTAACTATTAATGTAAAAGTAACATATTTTTCTTACAGATTAAGACTAATACTAAGTTTAATTCTCATAAAGGATAACAAATAAAACTATTTTAGTGACATTATAATTTCAGACATTTATTTCTTAAAACATAATATTTATTTCTTTCTTATATAGTGTATACCCTGACCTAATAACTTTCCAGCTAACTGACACATTATTTATTACACTTTTTATAAGATTAATAAGTATTTTAAATCAAAATTGTGTTGTGCTAGTCATTTATTAGTTAGTTTTAAACACATACGATTCTATATAATATGCAACCTTACTTCTGCAACTATTTTACCTAAAACTTACTTAAACAACCTAAAATTTAATTAAAGTATTGACTAAAGTGATTCATTTTGTGCATCATGTTATGACAAAGGCTCATAGCTTAAGTATTCGTTCCAGAACAAGGAAGAAATTGAAGCTAGACCTTAAATCAATAACATTTCTAAGACCGGGATATAGCATTCACTAGATATGGGACGAATTGTTCATAGTAATTAATAAATAAATAATTTATTATTTTGCAATCAATAGCATCTGTAAATATTAATATTGCTTTTATTTTTATTTCTCATATTTAGTAAAACATTAAAATCATTACTGTATAACAGTCGCTGGTTATAAAGTAGTCAATAAATTTATCCTACTAACACTAAGTTTGAACATTTATCCATTAAATAAATTATAGCTACCCCGGTCTTGTGATTGCTTAATCCTATAGTCAACAATGTCTTTTCTTTTAAGAACTAGTGTAGCCGCCATTTTTATCGATCCTATTTCTCCTATCTCGCTGGCCAAGGAATAATCCGTATGTCTGATTGCTGACTAAACACTTGCACAATTATGGAACATTACACATAAGACAATTGTCCAACACAAACGTTATCACTAGCACATCTTCATGACGTCATTCAGCACATCTATGTAGTTTTCACTGTTTGCATCACTGAAGATGACAATGCTCCAGTAATTTTTCTCATAACCTTGCCCCATAAGTTGAAGCTGGTCTGAGTCAATATCAGGTCTTCTGCCAGATCCACTACGGTGCTCCAATGAACCCTCTTCTTGAAACAGCTTTAGATATCCATAAAGTGGCAGTCTTTACCTGTAAGGGACGTGTATTATTTATTATTTTCATGTATCGATAACCATGGATAATAAAATAAATAACAAACGGTCATTTATAAGAATACTTACATTTAAGCCAGTTTCTCTAGAAATTCCAGTATAATTTAAGCTTTGATTATGCAATGCTATTATTTGGGCCCTCGTAGCCATATTAACATTTGAACGCAAATTCATAATAAAAATAAATATTAAAAACTTGTTAAACAAATCGTGACTGAACTCACTCAAAGATAGTAAAGAATGTTATGATTGAACAAAAAGGTTTAATTTTTATACAGTTAATTTTAAATTACCCTCAACTGTTTTGAGATTTATGATCGGGTTATAGTTGCTAAACAACTTCAATATAATAAAGAGTAGGATAATTTCAATACATTTCAAGGTAACGTAATGGCCTAATGGCTAGTGGCATCGGTTAATTTTATGCTACCGAGTTCGAATCCTGGTTATTGCGTGCTTTGCTTTAAAAAGGTTTGGAATATCGTAGCATTAATTTGTATAAAAATTTATTAAGTTAATAACTTTGTATCTGATAAAAACTATAAATGTATATTTTTCAATACCACTAGTATACTAGCGCCATCTATGTCGTCCATGGTATATAATTAAGGCGATGAAACGCCGTACAAACGATTTTGATTTAGAATCATCCATGCACTTATGACACTGATAGTACATTCAGATTCAGTAATTAGGAAGATATTAAAACAGAAGAGAAAATGTGAAATGATGAATATAAACGAAAAAATACAAGTTAGAAAGGGATAATAACTGTCAAAAAATTATTCTAGCACCTGTTAGAAGCTATCATAACATTAAATTTTATAGTAAAATAAACT